CGTGCTCGCGCGAACGAACTAGTTAGTATGGTAGAATTTTCAGGGAGTCACATATATATATATATATAATATATATAACTCCTGCATATATGTCAAATCAGGGAGTCCGAAAGTAAATCAGGGAGTATTTGACTCCAGACTCGTGTTAATTTCGCACCCTGCATGCCGCCGTGTTCACACAATACTTGCCAGCCAATGCCGTGCAGTTTACCAGTAATAACACCATGTCCAAGTGCATATATGGTGTGTGGCAGCTACGGGCTGGCTGGTACCTCGCCGCTACTGTGCTGCGATAGGCTTCTAAATATATATGTACTTTTACACACCCAAAAACACACACACAAACACACACGACCGAAGGCACGACCCCGGCAGCGATGAAGAAAAGTGAGTGAAGTGAGTCTGAAGAAACGAACAGCTGCAATGAGTCGTTTTTGCAGTACTTAGTATCATATGCTACTGAACTGCTATTCGTTACTAACTACCAAATCTGTGCCAAAAAAGACTGAAGAAAAAAACTTCTAGGGTTACTAAGGGGAAGTGACATCACTCAGCCCCCACCTATAATAATATCAGAAGTAGGAGGAAGGTCTATTATCTACTCCTGACAATAATTATGGCCTGCAGGCCTCAGATTTAATATATTATATATCTAGTGGCGGTTTAAGCGCACTTGTTTAAATTTTGTTAGTTCTTCTTTTCATACGAATACTTCACACATTTCACTATACATATTTTTAATAACCACCGTTCAATAAAACATATAACTTAAGACATTGTTTAATTTATAAAAAATTCTTCTTACCACTTAGCCCCTTTCCACATTCACTGGACTGGCAGTACCCGCATCATCATGCAGTGCGCTACAGTCCCAAGCCCGCAACCGGCCGATATATCATGACATCATATGTGTTACTAATCACCAAAATGACATTTTTGGAGATATTCACAATTAGCTGATTAAACTCATAATGGATTAAGAGATTTGTAAGCAAAGATTTGTGCAATATTATGTGCACATATAAGGTCAGTATACGACGTTGTTATGACGTCAAAACCGACGGAAATACAACGTAGGAATTTTGATGTATACGACGTTATTATGACGTAAAAAAGCCGACGAAAATACAACGTTGGTGTTTTGACGTCGCATAAGACGTTGTATTTAGGTCGCCGACGTCGCGACCTAAATCCAACCAATATCCAACGTCACTTTGACGAGTCGTGTGCCCACTGGGTAGTATATATATATAATTATATATATATATATATATCAGGAGTTAATAAAGACAAATTGTCTTTATTAACTCCTGTTATATATATATTATATATATATATATATGGCCTGCAGGCCGCAGATTTATTTATTTTTTATAAATTTGTGGAGGGGCAGGCCACTTAGCAGGCCAGGCCACCGGGAAAACTCCCGGTGCTCCCGATCGCCAGTCCGGCCCTGTTCGTCCGTTTCTGGCGACTTGCGACTCGATTAGCTCTAGCACTACAGCCCTTGTTGCCACAGACCACTATAGCTCGTGGCAACAAGGGCTATATAGTACTAGCGCTACGATTCGATCCGCTATACACTCGCAGTGTGGCACACTATCTCTAGTACTATAGCCCTTGTGTCCACAGGCTATATGTCTATACTAGTAGTAGTAGTACTGTAGTAGTATAGTATACAGGCCGCTCTACTACTAGTACTAGCGTTAGAGTAGCACCTACCTTGGGCAAGCGCGACCTCGGGATGAGAAGCTTGAAGCTCGAAGAGACGCGTGGTGTGTGTGTTGTGCACCTAAACAACAGCAGTCTGCTACCGATCTGCGGCCGCAAGACTCTTCTCGCCATCAACATCAGATATCCTTCACAGCGAATATGCCCACCGGTCGGTCCGTCAAACAGCAAGATCTATATCAACAACCGGACACGCTGACCGCGAGATCGAATAAAATTGAAATTTTGGGCAGTGACCACCAACCGTGACTAGAGTCAGACGACTGGGTGTACGAGCATAAAGTGCTAACCTATCTCGCTGTGCCACAGCTGTGCGTAACACGCTCCTCTCCCACCGCGCGCTATCAGTCAATGGTGACACAGTAGCACAGCGCCGTCTGGTTTTACTACGAGCAGAACAGGCCTCTGCTGCCGAGACGTCAACAGTTTTGTGGGTCTTTAGACTGCAGCTAGCGTACGAACGCCTGCCTGCACTGAGGCAGCAGATAGACGATCAACCAAGGTTGAAGTCCGCTCACACACTCGGTTAGACGACAACAAACAACACATCGTCGTACGTACACAACGTGCCTGGGTGCCATGAGGGTAATATTTAGGCTCAAGGATCGTTGAACCAATATGTACATGTTTACGTAAAGTATTTTGGCTAATATAGGTTGTTCATCACCTCACAATCATATCAGCTATAGACCATTCTTAATTATTATTCATGACCTGGGGTCACGCACGAAAAGGAGGCTAAGCTAGGCAATTTTGTAAGCAATAGCTGCTCAGGCAGGCACGCACAGAGTGGGTACACGCACGGACACGCGGGTACACGCACGTACACGCTGGTACTAGACCAATAAATTGTGCCCTAAATTTTTTTTTTTATTCTGATGTTATTTTAGGGCCTTCCATAGACAAAACCTGTGAATTCTGTCGTGCAAAATGCACGACAACCTTTTCACTATTTACGGCCGTGTTACATAGAAAATCAAAGAAATACCTAAAGCCGTCGCTTTATTAACACCTTACCTACATTACAAAACACTTGTCATGCAGTATTCTCCTCTTTAATCTTATATCTTGCCTGTTTTTCTGCTGACCTACTTCAAAAGTGGTTTATCCAGGGTTCCTCTATATGCTCTGCTGGCAAAGGGCCTGGCTAGCACGAATGCACAAAACAGGCTTTATCAGGCACTACAAAAAATACTTTAAAAGCTTCGATTTTGTGATAGAACTTACGTGAAATTCATAGCCTTTCTCGTGGTAAATTAACGTAGCCATGATTAACAATTAAACCAGTCGCGTGGAATTTCCACTCTTTTGTTGCCCTGGAAATTCACTAAGTAAACTTCGCTTTATAGATACATGTACAGCACAGTCTTCCAAAGTACGTCATAGTGACAAATAGACCACACCAGGCCTAGGTAACATCTTCACATCGGCCACCGCGGTTAACGTCCCTTCACTAGGCTAACTATTGTGTGTTCGTGTTCTGCTCTATTTGATTCTCTGCCCGTCACCACAGGCAACAGATTCATTAGAACCGTGTTTACAAACTGTCTTCGTGGCCCGTCTCCCAGTTAGGACAAAGTGGTGAACAGTGATAGAGCCGTGCAAGCGATAACAACACCAAGGCTTGTTATTCGGCGAGGCTGCCATTTAAATGTTGGCAAGCGTTCTGCAAAAATAGATTCCAGGCTGATGCGGCTGCAGGAAATGAACTTGAGAGTGTGTTACACACAAACACTCGCATATAAGTTCGCGCAGAGTGTCAGGCAAAAAATGACTGTTGTGGTCATTGACACTTCAGCTGTGTACTAGGCGTATAATTTAACTTCTTATCGAAAAAGTTCATTTTAGCCGACTGTGATACTGTGTACGTACTGTGTGTATCACTATCAGACAAACCCCGGTACATGAGCACTGTCAATCTAACACATATTTGTGTATGTACGGCTGTTTGTTTGTCCGTTCTCAATGCAAATCAATATGGAGCACTCTAGAAATGTCCAAAGACGTTCAGAGGGGTAATTAACTTTTGATGCTGAATGTCATTGGCGCATTGGATTTGACCTCCGAGGTCATATGGATGAACGGCCCCTGCAGTCGTTGTCCAAACAGGATTCAGCTTGCACTGACTTGGTACAGTAGTATATAGATGGTTAGTTTAATACTTAGTAGCCATCCAAATCATGATCATACGTAAAATGCCTGCAGCAATACCCAGTATGACAGTTATAAAACTGATACGGTAAAGAAAATGCAAAATTCCATAATGTTAATCATGTTTCCCCATGAACTTATTCTCGAATTCTTATTCGCTAAGTTATTCTCTGATCTTCACCAATACAAGTACAATGAATGCGAGTAAACGTTGTTAAACATAGGTTTCAAATTGAGAATTTAATAAAAATTGTATTGGGGTAAACAAAAACCATCCAGCCCTAAAATTACGTACAAGCAAATTTTCAATTTATGCCGAGAATAGTGCAGGGGTAGAAATTGACTTTTGAACAAGGGAGTCCAACCTAGTAGTAGTACCAGCCTACCCTCAAAAAGAGGGAGTCCGCAGTCTGAGGTTCAAAATTAAAGATATTAACAATAACGCATGTGCTTATTTTTAAGATTCCTGCTGTTGCACGTCTGCCAAATTTTATTTGGACATTAGCTAAAAAAAATACAGTAATTCCGCGAGGCCGTGCTCCGGAACGAACTAGTTACTGTTAGTATGGCAGATTTTTCAGGGAGTCACACGGACTCCTGCATATATGTCAAATCAAGGAGTCCGACAGTAAATCAGGGAGTATTTGACTCCGGACTCCCGTTAATTTCGCACCCTGTAGTGGTCACGATTTACAAATGTAGCATGGACGAATTTGCGCAGCCTCGTGATGCGGGGGTGTCAGTTACGATACGTAAATAGCACACCAGTGACCACGTGTATAGCGAATGCTGTACAGTGTGTACACGGGATGTGTACGCACTGCTGCCGAAGGACCAACTATCACGCCTGCTCCCATTCCTCCACCAACGCACCACGGCTGCACCACACACACACACGCACACACACACACACGCACACACACACACGCGCGCGCGATCTATGTCCAGACATGGGTCGCCATGTTGCTGCTGTCACTACTACACTACTTGGCTACTTGCCTCCTCTGCCCTTCCTTTCCTATTTACGCGCCGAACGTGCATCTGACATTTATAGTTCTACAATGCACACGGAGTCACAGACTTGCAGTTACACATTACTTCATATTCACTTTCACTCAAAAAACTTCGGTGAGAAACTCCGCCGATTCATCCTACGATTTATAGAATACTACGGGTGTTGTTATCCCCCGGGCGCGTGATTTTTTTTCCTAGGTCAATCAAGAACATAGGGTTCTATAGCGAGCGCTGCCATTGGTTGATACAAATCACGTGCCTCAAACTCCTGTTTTATGGTGCATTCACATCTTTGATTCACATGGCGTGGAGGGAGGGTCACGTGATACAGTTGACGTATACTTCAAAATCATTAAGCATCCAGTAAGGCTAACTGCAACACCTCCAATGCTAAACATAACACTAAATATATATATATCTCGGAGCGCTATATATATAGGTGTTGCTATCCACAAAAATTAATCTATGGTGTGGGGACAGATATCATGATCCAAAAACCCTAACCCTAACCCTAACCCTGACCAAAACCCTAATCCTAACACTATCCTAACACTAGTGCTGCTACGTTGCGGTAACCTCCCTCCACGCCCGGGGGATAGCATTAACCGAATACTACGCGCATGCTTTACGTGCCATGCCAAAGTGCTCTTTAATTTTATTGTTAAAAAACGCTCTCCATAAACATACCACCGTCTGTGGCAAGCCCCTAGCATCTCCCTTGATATGATAACTTAACCTTGCAGACAGGATAGGTTCTACGTGACTCGCTGATGCTCTTTAATTTTTTTAAACAACACTTCATATACATGCATCAGTAGCTGTGATAACCCAGTCACGGCCACAAGGGAATCATGGCCAGGCAGGCGAACCATAGTTCACTCAATCCCGTCGCAAGGGTAGAAATTAACTTTCGAACAACTTCCAACGGACTCCCCTACCCTCAAAAAAAGGGAGTCCGCAGCAAAACAAGGGAGTCCGCAGTCTGAGGTTAAAAATTTAAGATATTAAAGGAACAGTAGCCTCTAGGATTTTACTGCATACATCTGTACTTACTGTATAACAAATCGTCTATACCCACACGTATTTGTTACCAGATACCTAATTTAATTGTTATAATTAATTACACATCAACGCTACAAAATTTGAACGGCGCCATGACACCCGCGACCGTGCTGCCACCACGAAAAAGTTGCGTATTTGACAATTTATTTTGCACGTTACAGACCGAGGGCTAATCACAAAAGTGCAATTATATTTATACCTAAATGCTATTTAACTGAACGATATTCATTTTAGGGCAAATTTATCCATCGGACTGCGGACAGCGCTTCATACTTGAACATCCCCGCGGTCGCGTGCGCATATCCCGTGGAACTGTGCGTCTCATCCGCGCACAGCGCTCAGGATCAACAGCAAAGCTGTGCCACGCAATCTTGTATCATGTCTCTCTGGATTCCAGTAACACCTTAACAATAACAGCAGTTTTAATTGAGACTTTGGCATTGTCACTAGATACGGGTTCATCCCAGTATTAGTAAAACATCAGCAACATATAGTGCAGTGCTGATGATGCGGGCTAAACTTTGCACGAAAATGTCAAATAAACTCAGGGGAACCCAGAAACACTATTCTAGTAAGTTGTTATTTGAAATTTAAATGTGGGATTAGAAATGTCCAAGGGGATACTTCATCATAATTCTTGCCCGTTCAATTGCCCCCAAAGCATCAATTCGGCCGACATCTCCACAACCGTATCTATCTATTATATACGATTGTTTTTCACTTGTTACAACTGGTTATAGGGGTTTGAACACAGCTATGCTCACCTTGTATAAGCACCCAAGTTATGAACCTATAATATCACCCCGAGATTTGATCGAGTACAAGGTTTTTTCTCTCATGTATATTACTTTTATGAACGTACTACTGTATATCGATAAATTTCCGACATATGTGATAAGCATATATATCCATCAATGAATGGTAAACATGGCGGGGAGTAGGAATAGAAGCCTGCCCTAACAGCACACAACCTGGACATAAGTGCAGTGGAAAAATACCAATCTTTCATGTGACACACGTCACACACCCTTTAGATTTCCACCACATTTTGGTATACATAATCAAGAGCAACTCGTTGTGTGATATATACAACGTACGCACCAAGTACTGCTGCTTTAGACTGTTATACATTCAAGCTACGCCCATGGTGTGCGCCCAGCGTACCAACTGCCTGTGTCCGTCTATAATAAGAAGTACAGCTAAGTACTTTTTGGGGTATGAGCAATGGGAGGAGGGTATTGATGTTTAAATTCTGTGGTCCTTGAACCTCTGCTACAAAACACGCACTTTACTGCTGGGTTGCTTTTACTGCAGTGTAATACTGCTAAAGTGAAAAATAGTGCACAATTTTTTGCTCCCATATTGTTTGGACGTTTTTGTGTTGGGTTATATCTAATATATATTTGAGTTCGTATGTATGTATCTATCTATCTATGTATGTATCTTCCCTATAGGCGGTCAAACCGCCCAAGCGATCTGGATGCAATTTTCACAGGGCCATCTCTTATACCCCGGGCGTGTTCGTAGCTGAAAAAAACCTGTCAAACCGTCAAACTCGCCGAAAAATCCGTGAAAAACCCCTCAATTCGGCAATCTTCACACAATGTCAGCACAGCCTATGACTATTGATTTTCTTGCCCTCACCTCATGATCTCATCAGCTGCTCGAAACCGAAATCGAAACTAAAACAGAGCATAACCACGACCAGCCAGTTCAGAGGTACTACTCACTCTCAGTTCAGAGTTTCGGTTCAGATGCTACGATCTGAGAATGCATTGTACCATTCCAAAGCTATGCATTTTCTGATTCAATACAAAAATTTCTTAATTTCAATCTGCATGGTTGCACGCCAAGCATTCACTAGACAATATCCAGTGGACACAGACCCCACTCGCTGGCCTGTCTCTATCTATACTATATATGGAATTTCTTTTATTCGGCGTACGATCTCACAATGGATAGCTGCTGTACGTGGGGAGCTTAACAGTTGGATACGCCACGAATCTCTACATATTTGCACCAGAGAATAACACGAAAAACATTGTTTATCAAGAGTCTTTCAAACGAAAAGTCCAACCCATTCGTACATGCTGTTATATAACAATAGCTTTTTGTCATTTACTCCATATTACTGCTGAGCGGGTCTGTGTGTCCCCCCCCCCCGGGATACTGCGGCAACGTACCCTGGGTACGGTGGGGTATACCGGAACGTACCCTGGTACTATCTAATATGCCGGACCGTACCTCGCCTACTCCACTAACGAGTCTAGGGAGTCGCCTACGCCTACTCCCCAGGGGCGTAGCTACGGGGGGGCCTGGGGGGCACGTGCCCCCTCCCCCACAAATTTGCTGTGCCCCCAGGTGCCCCCACTGAAAATTCATGCTGATAAAAAAAAATTTTGAATTCAAAGAAATGCCGTTAGAACAGTATAATACAATGAAAGAAGGTTCGAACCACATCTCAATAAAATTATATATTGTGCCCCCCACGAAAATGTAAGGCCCCCCCAGTGCCCACGCCCCGCTGAAAAAATCCTAGCTACGCCACTGCTACTCCCTAACCCCAACCCGAACCCTAACCCTAACCATATCAAATAGCCACCAGGGTACGTTCCGGTATACCTGGGGGACATAGACCCTATGAGCCATATTACTATTAATATTATGTCTCAGGTGTTCTAAGTTGGGTTGTGCTGTCATATAAATGTCATACGTAACAGTTTTCCCCATGCTTATTATCTTATTAGACCGATTTCTAAATATTGATATTGGGTGCAATGTCATTGTCCATGTTTACCCAATGTTCCTACTGTGTCCCATTATTAGTATAGTAGTATGATTAAGTAGCACGATTTTACCCAGCGCAGCGGGTACCCGCCCAGCTAGTATATATACATAGAGGGAGAGAGAGAGAAAATAAATATAGAGAAATAGAATGAGGTGAGAATGAGGTGTCTTTTCATAAGGTTATACAGCAACAACAAAAGCATATATAAATAAATAATAAATAAATAAATACATAAATATATATGATTCCATGATCTGCACAACTTTGCTCTTTGTCAGAGCACAGCTGTGGTTGAGCTCCATCAATATTTATGGTTCAGTTCGGCTTCTATTGAAGTGCAACATTTCCAAGGCTATTCAATCATACAGCCAAATGATATTCCAACTGCGCCTCTGTTAGTTGTAATGCTGGTTATCCTGGGGAACCAGACTATGGTTAGTACTAGTACTAGTAGTGTTGG